AAGTAAACACAGCAGTTACTGGCTTCCTGAAGCGAACTCCATGCTTTCTTTTGATTGTACGAGCTTTAGTTTGATTAGGTTTCTATTTTTGTCCTGCAATCTGATTCGTTAGTGCTCTCTAAGTAGCCCCACTAACTGTAGACGCACTGTAAAAGGAAAACAAAACTTTTCGATTCCTTCGTTTCTGACTGTATATTTGGATCAGCTCAGGAGCATGTCCACTTATAACCCAAATAGTGTATTATAGTTAGGTGTGACATGTACTGATTCCTTCTAAATTATTTCCTTTCAGAAGTTTGTTGGCTGAAAGAAAAGCCAAGAAAGAAAATTCGCCGATGACCGACAGACTAATGCTGAAAGCCGTAGCAATGCATTAGAATGATTATACATTAATTAAATTATCAATTATTCTTGCACGGGTTACCGCAGTTAAGGAACAGGTCATTAATAATGGGAGGCAGTGGGCGGTGCGTGAGAAAAGGGGGACGGCTTCAACTATTTTTTCCGAATTGGGGGCGGCTTTAAACTGAAAAATATGTGACATGGGGCGACCCCAAATTTTTAATACTTTCCAACTCATTTTCAAAATATTCCTATAGTTCCTATAATTGTAGTTTCAATAGTATATTACGTATATGCAGTTCACCATAGAAGTCGGAGTAAATAACAACCATTTCACAGCGGGCAGAAAAGCACAATTGTGTTATAAATAATTTGTGGTAATTCCAGCCATGTAATCTATTGTGTAACTAATTTTTTATAATAGTTTGTGTTAAATGGCAAAATCTGTAAAATAAAATAAAATAAATACCTTGTTATCAACCAATATCGCACACTCAGTATTACAACAATCCGCTGACAAAGTCATAAAAGGATCAAAATTAGCTGATTTTTATTTTTTCGATAATATCATGCCTTCTACTTCATGTAATTCAAACATCATTGCATTGCAACGACAATTTCCGAAGATCTTACGAAAGGATGCCGAGGGTGTAGCCCGTAAATAAAGAAGAAAGGGATGAAACGCCGAAAATCTTTCGTTCGATTTGCACCGCAACACATGGTGACGGAAGTTAACTCGACAATGTAAGCGGAAGTAGAGCGGAAGTTGAATGAAAATTGACCTTCCCTCTTCCATGACCTTTTAATCGAATTAACGGTTGATAATTTAAATAACAATAACAAATTTAAAAAATACTGCGAAATTGAAATTCAAATATGGAACGTTTTGTCACTAAAAGAAATGCGAATCACCCGTTTCAAAAAAAGCTTAATTTGTTGCAAAGCAACACACGCTCTTGAATCGATCAACCGTGAATATATTTACGACTTTGACCTTTGTCTATGACTGCAATCCAAACGGCAGTCTTTCCCAAGCCGGTCACGATTTAAACTCGTCTTCGGCGTGTGTGCAGACTTAAGATATATCAATATTCAATTTTAAATAAACTCTGAAACTGTTTCGTTATAATTCGGTTAATATATATATATATATATATATATATTTATATATATATATATATATATATATATATATATATATATATATATATATATATATAGTTAGATATGTAGTTATATATTGCTCTATGGCCTTTGTGTCATATTGAGCACTCTACAGGATGAGCCCTTGCTGCTTACGCATTGTGCGCATGCTCACTGCTTGCAGTTTGAGCACTCTGGCAATGATTTGATGCCCCACATTTGTGAGACATCAAAGGTAACTGTTAATAGTGGTTACTTTCATCCTGCTCATCAGCACTACACTGATATATATATATATATATATATATATATATATATATATATAAATGTTGTGGTTTCCCACGTTGCTTCGCGGGTTCGAATCCCAGCCGCGGTCAAGTAGAATTTTCTGCTTGCCCGGTTTGGTATACACTCGTCTGAAAACAACTCAAAAACCGCTATATATATATATATATATATATATATATATATATATATATATATATATATATATATATATATAGTTAGATATGTAGTTATATATTGCTCTATGGCCTTTGTGTCATATTGAGCACTCTACAGGATGAGCCCTTGCTGCTTACGCATTGTGCGCATGCTCACTGCTTGCAGTTTGAGCACTCTGGCAATGATTTGATGCCCCACATTCGTGAGACATCAAAGGTAACTGTTAATAGTGGTTACTTTCATCCTGCTCATCAGCACTACACTGATATATATATATATATATATATATATATATATATATATAAATGTTGTGGTTTCCCACGTTGCTTTGCGGGTTCGAATCCTAGCCGCGGTCAAGTAGAATATTCTGCTTGCCCGGTTTGGTATACACTCGTCAGAAAACAACTCAAAAACCGCTACATATATATATATATATATATATATATATATATATATATATATATATATATATATATATATATATATATAAAGATGGAGTTCTCCGAGAGCAATATCACATACGTACCCTTTTCTAGATATATGCAAAATTAAAAACAAAGATTAACATACGATAGCATTCCTCCACTCGTGAGCTCATTTACCGAAGCAAATGTCCAGGCCTTGTGACCCTGGATGGGCACTTAAAGGAAGGAATACACACATTCGTACGCTTATTTAAGGTGACGGCACATGAAATGTTACCTGTTATGTTTCAATTATCCAACAATATGTCTCAACGCAACTCATCTCCTTGTCGCCATATTGTTCAAACAATATCAGGAAATACGTAAATGAATAAGTCAAATACTTTTGACTGAATGCTGAAAGCTACAGCAATGACCTAGAAATTACTAGAATATCTTATAAGGTGATAGGAAGTAAAATAAATACATATTTTATGTCTCTCAGGTAATATATAAAGGATGGAGTTCTCCGAGAGCAATATCACATACGTACCCTTTTCTAGATATATGCAAAATTAAAAACAAAGATTAACATACGATAGCATTCCTCCACTCGTGAGCTCATTTACCGAAGCAAATGTCCAGGCCTTGTGACCCTGGATGGGTCATCCAGCTGTAACTATATAGCCAGTTTTTGAAATGCATTTAGAAGCTGGGCTTTTATTTATGCGATTTTTGGAATTGCTTTCCTCAACAAATTTAAAAAATAAAATTACTCGTCAGTTTATACTGTTCTGCTCTTTCGCTTATTTTGAAAATTTCGGTTTTGTTATATTCACCTGTAGGTGAATATAACAGCTTAATACGTCAAATTTGACCAATCAACTTGTAGGATTGTTATGTTCACTTATGCAAAAATACTAAAATATTATAGTGCTGTTTAACTAAGTGTTCGTAACATTATATTCGAGTCGGGAGTCGGCTTTAACTTAGCGTTTTTCCGTAGTCATGTGTTTTTTTGCTCAAAAAAGTCGGATTTTTCCTTCGTAATAACCAAAAAATACCTGTCTGCATGGACGAGGGCATTATGGCTTTTAATCCACTCTGATTTTTCGTCTACTCGTATAATCACATCAATCGTCATTTATGATCGTAAAATCACGTCACTGTCATATAATAATAAGTTTCAATATATGCATGTGTTAACGTCTGCTCGTTACATCGGTAGTACACGACTTAAATAGGATAAACACATAATTCTTTCGTTTATTTTAAATTAATATTATTATGTTCGTATGGTTTACAGTGGCGGAATTCACTTTCTCCGGTGGGGGGGGGGGGGCAGAGGCTCCTAAATTTCCGACAAAACTTTCAAATTTCTGACAAACCCTCCATTTGCCCTCAAAAAGACTGTTTTTAGCCCTATTTTAGGTCAAAATTTCTGAAAATTCGTCAATTTTCCGTGAAGGTGAACACCCCCCACCCCCCACCCACCCCCGCCGCACCAAGATTTCCGCCACTGATGGTTTATATTCCTCATTCTGCATGAAAAATAAGATAACACTGTAAAGTAGTAACACTATAAAGCGACTATATATATATTTTAACATCAGAAAAACAGATTGCTTCGGATAAACATCTTCAATTCGAATTCCGGCACAACTATAGGACTTTGTTTTATCATATACTTCGCTAGTGCGGGACCATGCATGTGTGTTGTTCGCTGAGTTTGTTAGTGTCAAATATTTATCTCTATACTTAAAAATCGTAAATAAAAATCGTACACACTCATCAAGTAATCTATACATAAATTAGTCGATAAGTTGCATTGTTTTATATTTAGCTTTATTCTTTTCGCAGACATGCATTTATCATTATTTAATATACAGTTTAATAAAGGGATGGCATATATATACTCTAATATAGTTTTATGACTCATCGGCAACGGCGCCCTAAGAAACTCTGTATTTGACTTCTACACTATTAATACTACAATTGAAATAAATTTTATGCTTTATGTACTTGATATGAAAGTTTATTAAATAATCATTTAAAACAGACAGCTGCTGGTTGAGAAATACAACTGCCTCATAAATTTACGCCAAAATCTGACGTTTCGAGCAAAGGCCCTTCCTTGCGGGTGTAATGTAGCCACTAACTACTTCCTATCTACTATAACCTGGCTACTACAACTTCCCGAAGAAGAGCCTTGCTGCATCTCTCTCAATACGTATCGTCAAGTTTATTAGTAAAACACGTCATTTAGAATATATTAAATTCAACGTTATAATTAATAAAATGCGATAAGTTAAAACACGGCAGGTGCTATATATATGTTGATTGTGTAAGGCCTCAACTCTTCTGTGCATGAAGTTGAAAAGGTCAGCTACTGACTGTCGATAATATGAGTGTTCCTAGTATATTATCTGGTTATAACACTGCTTACTGGTCTCTGTATCTTGTCTGTATAACTGGCGCGATATCACAAGTGATACTTCTGGTATGTTTGATCAAAGACCCAGTGAAATGTTTCAGAAACTCAGCGACTTATCTTGTTGCTAATTTGGCTGTTTGCGACTTGGCTGTTGTGTCACAAATGATTTTTGGGACGTTTGCCTCGCGTAATCCTTGGCTATGTTCGCTGTCACATGCATCGTTCTATGCATCGATTCTTACAATTTTGTCCATTTCTGTTGATCGCTATATAATGGTTGCACATCCATTTAAACACCGTTTACTTATGAACGGTAAAAAGGCCGCATGTTGGATTGCGTTTATTTGGATACTCAGCATTTCATGCCCTCTGTATCTTTGCGTGGCGGGTAATCGCAGCAAGTTCAGAGAATTCAAGTATGCCCTTTTAGCTGTGGCTATTTTTCTAACCACTTTTATGTACATTCTAACATGTATATCTCTGAAGAGACAGGCAAAAAATCTCGAAAGCAAAGACGGAAGAAAGGTCCACAAATGTCGCGTCGCTAGCGAAGAACGATTCCTAAGAACTGTCATTATAATCGCCGTAATTGCCTTGATGAGTCTAACTCCTGCCACACTATATGGGCAATTCAAGAAGCATGGTTTGCGTAAGAATATGGAACGCAATGCTGTTAATTGTATATTAATGACACTGCTATGTCTCAATTTTTCAATCAATCCCATTATTTATTTTCTCCGATTGAAAAACTATCGAAAGACATTCTTTATCTTGTTTTGTTGCCGCTATAATGGTTGACAGACAACGATTGCACGAAGACGACGGTTGCTCAACAGAAAACCCATACGAATTAATAATTTACATTTTACAGCAGTACGTTCTGGTCATGTGTGAATGATTTCGTTTATTTTCTGATTTTGATATAGGCTAAAGCCTTTGTAAAACTAATTCGTACGACAAAGTTGGAAGCCACCGTATAGACCACCGTATAGGACTGTATTCTGCTGGTTTTGGCACATTTGGGCTAGAAATTGGTATAAGTATGACGTAGTCGATTTCCCGAGGTTTCAAAACAGCCCCATGCACAAATTCGCAATCTCAAACCGACAACTAGAGCAATTGTTATAATTATAATAAATCTTGTAATTATTATATTAATTTGACGTTAAATAGTACATAATTATTATTACTAAACTGACTTTATTACAAGTATATAAATGTCGCGCGAAGTTGTAAGGATTCTTAGAGTTCCGACAATTTAGTTGCTGATTACTCAAAATAATTAATTTTATCTCTATCGGTTTAAAATTGTGTTTACAAGTCCTCGGTTTGAGATCGCAAGAACTGGCCATATCGAAGTGTGGCGATTTCGGGGCACTTTTGAGAATTCGGATTGGGAAATCTGCTTGGCCGTTACACGGCATAACGCCATACTTACCTAATAGGCTAGCCCAAAATTGACCAAACCTGCCAAAACCAGCCCAGTAAAGACCAAGTTCTAGGCAGGTTGGAAGCACTGACGTGACAACATGCACTAAGCAACTTCTTCCAACGGACTTTGATTTACTGCATGATCCCTGAATCAAACGTGGATGAATGGCCATGGATGAGAGTTTGTAGCCACGACATCTTGGTTAATGACTAAGAAACGGACTTAATATTTTGACAAATTTTTATTTTGGAAAGCAAACATATAGATTACATTAGTTGAAGGATGGGGCAAACAATAAATATTGGTTTATAAAATAATAATAGTTTTCTTAAGCCAGCAACCAGCGTGACTTTGCTTTGTTTATACGCGATATAGATGTATAATGCATGCATGGCCCTCGCCAACAAGACATGAGAACCCTTGTTTAATGTTGCGCTATTTTCGTACAAAAGAGGAAACTTTTGAGATAAAGAATGGATTAGAATATTAAAGGAGTTTAAACTTAGTTCAACGTCCGGTACAATATAATTCCGGTTAACAAAATTACCGTATATAGTTAACCCCCAAAACCTCCAACAAAAATTTATTGTGAAGATTATTAAATTTAGAAATTTACAATTACAGTTAAAATCTAAAGTATATCTCAAACGGGAAGAAAGTTTCCCAGGTTGCGTGCAAGTCATGTGAACAAAGAAAAGTAATTATAAAGCCCCTTCAAACGAGATAAGAGTGCATGGATGAGAGTGGCATGCAGCGGTATAGTTACACTCTTACGCCTGTATATATTCTAAAAGCTCACTCACACTCACTCTGAGCTTCTCTTGAGTGCCAATGCTGTTTTTGAATAGCTAGAGGGGGAGTAGTCACATAGTAAGGTACGAAGGTGCGACACTAACCCTCCAGTTATTCAAAAACAGCAATGTGCAATGGACTAAACCGGACTTTGTAATCACACTCTTTTAGTATGAGTGAGCTTTTAGAATACAGGGGTTAAAGTTAATGCATGTAGTCACAGCGACATTTGAAGCTCGGATTAACAATCATACCGTCGCTTGCAACGGTCACGTTCAGATAAAATAATGTCTATTCTCGTGACAAAGTTCAATTTTTTTACCGACAAAGTACAATGTTTTTACCGACAAAGTTCAATTTTTGTAATGACATTTGATGGTTTCAATCCGCTCTGCCAAATCAGCTTGGAGCTGGTTGAACGCGAATAGGCAATGTTTTTAATGAGAGACCGTTCATCCTTAGTTGCAAGCGACGTTAAAAGTTTGACTAATAATGTTCCAACAACGTTCTAACTTAAATTGAATATATGCTAGTGTTGGGAAAGCATTATAAGAACAGCTAACCAAGGTCGCGTGCAGACTGGCAACTCTCACGAACTCTCGCGCGTCCTTGTTTAATTAGCCTGCATGGCAGGCGGTATTTCCCAGGCTTGTCCAATTTTAGGAACCGCCTGCCATGCAGGCTAAACAATAATAGGATATTTCTGAAAGACTCGTTCAACACCCTGTAGTTTGTCTTTTGCTGTCAAAGGCAGCATTACTGCCCTGTGGGTAACCTAGTTCTATCATATAATATGCTTTCGGGCATTTATCCCTAGGGAATTATAATATTGATGCATGCATGCATCCATATCCGTGAGGCAGGTCGCAAAATCTAATGTTTTTTTAATACATGCCTATACACTATTAATTTCAAGGAGTTAAGTTAAACTCCTATAGCAGACTTATATGTTAAAAACCAAATTTAATAATATCTCCCACAGTGGCGTAAAATTTGCTAAAGTTTAAAAATAACTCCCCGGGAATTAAATTAACTCCTTGGAATTAACAATGTATAGATATATTTCGTGAGGCAGGTGACCGCAGGTCTCCCAAAGCGGAGTTTGACGCAATTTTGACCCTGTGATTCTGACGGCATGCACATAAGGAGGTTTCAGATTACAGCCGAAAACTCCAATCAGGCTGTTAAAAAGATAACTGGGAAATGTTAAAAATCAAACATACAGATAATTACGTAGTGGATCGAATTCGAAGCATGCCAATACACATATGATAACTTTGAACATGCCTATATTCTGTTAATATCTCTGATGACTAAAAAACTTCTCTCATGTGAATTATATGCGTCACAAAATAGGAACAAAATATCAGTTTAAACGTCTTCCGCTCACAAGACATGAGAAACCTTGTCGTATATATGAAGAAGGGATCACTCTTAAAAATGAATTGTGTTGGACTGAAAGAGCAAAGGAGTTTTTAAATTTAGTTCAACGTCCGGTATAATGTAATTCCGGTTAGCAAAATGACTGTGTATACTTGACTCTGAGAACCGCTACCAAATAAATTAATATTATATATTTGGGAAGGTATTATTTATATTTGGAAGTTTAGGCCTATATGCGATATTAAGTTACAATTTTGAGAATATATGAGAATATTTGAGGGTGCTGTCGCGTGTAAAGCCCCAAGAGTTTTTGAGTTGACAGTCAGGCATTTTTACAGGGGGGAGTTCAAGTTTTTGATTAACAAAATAAAGATTTAATTAATATTCGGTAATTGCAATTTCGGTAATTTAACCCCTTGTAGAGTTATATTGAACTCGCGATATATTATCGCTAGTCAGGTCACACAATGCAGCGTTTGTTGCAACTTCAACCCTGTGAGTCTGGCGGCATTCACTTGAGGAGTTTTCAGATTTCAGCCGAGAACCCCAATAGATTCTGAACCCAGTTAACTGTTAAATGTTAAACATACAGATATTAACATAGTAGAATCATTTCAATAATATTATTTTCAAAAGTTAAGTGTGACTGCTAGGTCGTGGAAACTATATATTTTGTTTGGGATGTATTTTATCAAGTTATCAATCCGCCATAACTACTGTACATTACGCGGGAAACGTACGTACTGGAATTGTATATTTGACTTGCAACATGTTAGGTTACTTTCAATACTTATTACATATTTAATAATAATAATAATTACAATATTTAGTCAGTGGATCCACTCACGAAAGTGATTTTCAGTGGAGCCCTGACAAAAAAATAAAAGAATAAAAATGTAAAATTAACAAAAGCTAAGTGAATATATGAAAGGTTAAATCGTATAAAGTTCTTGTGTATCCTATCGGTTCGGTAGAGTGTACTATGGCTATGGAGCTAAAATCAATGTAAAAATCAATGTCATTGTTTAAACACTTAATTGTGCATGATTAGACAACGGTGAAAGTTTCTACAGGTTGTTAACGGCTGTCAATTCAACGAGGCTGACGAAAGCGTCAAGAATGATTTTAGCGGCTTTGTTGTGACGAACTTGAATGTGGTTCATCAGGACAGAGTTGTTTTTATCACCCCACACAAAATTAGCTTAGTCAAAGATCGGCACGACAAGGCTGTTTACTAGAGTACGACGACATTCAACTGTTAGGAGGTGTTTAACTCTTCGTTTGATACCAAGACGTTGATTAACTTTGGTATAAAGAGTGCTTCAATATGATCTGACCACGATAATGTCTAATTTAAGGTTATATACCAAGATACATGAAGGATTCAGTACGATTTAGTGGGCTATTATTAATAAGAAGATTTATATTTTGTAGTTTGCCAAGTTTGGCATTACTTCTGAAAACCATAAATTTGCATATAGAAGTGTTAAGAGTTAAATGGTTGGCACCAAACCAACGAGATAAGTTCTGTAGGTCAGAGTTAATTAGCTTTTGTTCCAATTTAATCGTAGTTTTAGCTGAGCAAATAAGGACGGTATTTCATGCATTATTGAGAATTTTAAACATGCATATTCAGCTGATATGATCTCTGATTACTGCCTTGATGCTGCGTGAATTTAGTCTAGTTCACACTTTTTTATCTTTCTGAAGAATGTGAATGTCTGCATGAACTCGCGCACGAAAGTGTACAGTCGGTTTTGAATCTTTGTGTTCCGGTATAGATATAGGAACTAATTGTACAAAACCTGTGGATACGCAAGACTAATTGTTGTGCCTCATGTGTGACGTCAATGAATCTAGCTAGCGTAATAAGATCGTACTATATAAAACTTTTTTGGCAGTTTTTTTTTGTTCAGTTCCTTCGTGTCGCCATCAGTGATTTAAAGAATCTAGCAATAGAAATGTTTTGTTGCAAAAAATCCTCTAGTTTCTGTCATGACTATTTGGGTTGCAAAGATGTATGTTGTGAAAATAAAACAAGAATCAATCGTTGCGAAAGCATGTTGGAATCGTATGAGAAACTGACCAAGCCTGAGTATATGGCCAACCAAGATAATCCTTTGAGCCATGCGTTCAGCTTGACATGTGAAATACGGAAACGCAGGGAGGAAAATGCAGAAGTGCAGAATGAATTGAAAGTTCTTTCTGAGAAGACAAAAAAATTTACTGTCGACTTTTTAAACGTGTGTAAGAATAGTGAAGAAGTTTCCATTGTTTTAAATTTTGATGAAGACGATCTGACGAACAGGAAGGAGGTTGAAGCATTGAAGAACGCAGTAAACGCTAAGCATAAAGAGGTATAGTGATCAGATCTTATTTCAGTAAAAAAGGCTATTTTCGTCGCTACACAAATTGCACTGTTTACGTCCCGATCTGTATGCACTCAAATGTTTTAGGATGGTCCATTTATTTTGTATGGGCGATTTCTTTTCTTCAAAATCCATATGTACTTCGACAATTCAGTGTCATTAGCATACGTAGCGATGTTGAACGATTTCTGATGGTTCCTAAAACGCTCCTTAAATGTTGTAGCGGAATTCCAATATATTAGACACCTTAAGATTGACGTTTATTTTATTTTATTTACGCCTAACCGCAAACCGCGATTTCCCGTTAGCGGTTTCACGTTTGCCGTACTTGCAAATATGAAATTAAGATTGACGTTTTTCTTCCCGTTCAATTTTTTTCCGTCGAAACTATAGGATCCATTTGAATTGTGCCATCCTGTCAATGAATTGAAATATGAAAGTATAAATGTTAGTAACAAATATGCAAGTATATTTAAACACGGACTGTGAAAAGTCATCAATGATTTTGAACTTGCTTTATCGTGAATGTTCACATGTAAACGTTTATTAATTAAAACGATTCAAAACACGACTTAAAATAACCAAATCTCAATTTAAGAAATCTATCATACCAAAATCGGCCACAAAATATTAAACTGACAATCGAAAATTTCATGTTTGTTTAACCCAAATAAATTAGAGAGTCGAATTTATACTTGTTCGGTTAAAAGCACTCAGAATATGAAAAAAATTCCTGTTAAAAACAACCATCCAAATCAAAGATAAGATGTATATTTGTCTTGATATATTTCATATACGTGCAATGAAGTAATAACAGTTGAATAAAATGCTGAGGTAAATCACTTACCTGTAGAATGCACTCTTGAGATTTAAAACGTGAGTGATTTACGGCGAACATGACGGCAGGCTCCTGGTCACGTGGTTTCTAGCGGTTAGCGGTTAGACGTTTGCGAAAAATACGTCAATCTTAAGGTGTCTAATGCCTTGTTTCTCCGTTGTCTTCTGCTGCGATCTTTGCATGGAAGACAATGCCTTTGGTTAAGCATTTACTGTTGAGAGTACACGTATTATTATCTCTGCAGTTGCACGTTATTGGCAGGTGGCGTTGGTGATGGTTTTGATGGTGGTGTTTGCGTTAACGTTGATGAGGGGGGAGGTGGTGGTGGTGGTGATGACGCTTTTGAAAAGATCTTATTGTTGTGGATGGATATCACGGATTTCACGTTTTTCATGCAACTTAGCTCACTTTGATGGTATTCCTGTTGAAAATGTTGTTGAGGGCAGATGACTTAGGGAAGTAAATATCTACAAGGTGCAGAAAATCTTTACCAATGTTGGATCTCACGTTTTTACTGTAGGGCGGATTGAACCAGGTGATATTCCTTTTTCGGTTTCTTTTTGGTGTGTTACGGGTGTTATGGTCTAGATAGTTTATCTTGCTTTGATAGTTGCTGTGGTAGAGGGCTTGTTCGTATAGAAGCGCTGATGAGTCGAATGCTTGTTTATCGGAAGAAAGTCGGGAAATTCGTTTATTAATTGGCAACAGGTAGTTGTCTGATTATTGGGGGTGGGTGGTTAGAGAGGCTGTTGATATAGAGTGGTTGGTTGTTCGGTTTCCTATATGGTTTGTATAACTACCGTCAGCTAAGTTGAGCGTAATTTCTAGGAAATTAACAGTGTGATGACTGACCACTGCCGTGATCATTAAATCAAATTGCTCAAATAAATAGTTGTCTGATAATTGGGGTCAGGTACTTGCCTTGTTGCTTTGCAAAACATACCTTTTCCCTTTTAACAACTATGAGAACGTAAATATTTTAAGAGAAAAATTGTGAAATGTAATTTTAATCAATTTTCATACCGACATAAGTCAGCACCATACCATCCAGAGCAGGACAAACATATATAGCGAGAACTGAAGCATTCCAGTTGAAATAATCACCGAATTTACAAGTTCCTGCGATGAACTAATGCTTTCATGTTTTTGGTTTTATATAGTTTGTTGCACATCGCCATGTTCAACAGTTATTACACACAATCGTGTATGAAGATTTTCCAGCTAAAGGATTTCTCAGTCGCCTTGTACTATCCCTCCTCTACACTCTAACGTTCCCATTCTGTGCATTGATATTTATTTTCCGGAGTGAATGGAAGATATCGCATTTCATGGCTACACCGTTTGTGAAGTTTATATCCCATACTTCTCACTTTTGTGTTTTCATTGGTCTTCTGGTTCTCTCGTCTTTTAGGAACAATCATGAGCCCACTGCAATCGGTTAGTATAAAATTATTACATATTACATATTACATATTACACGCCTTCCTACGTATAGGCCTACCATTTATTCGGTCCGTAACAGCGCCATTTTCAAAAATTCCTTTGGGAGTGGCGTGAGCAAAGGAGAATTTTTTCTACTAAATTAAAAAATGTTAAGACTTGCCCAATGGAATGGAGAGTCATTTTTACTGTAACTTTAAATTAACTAGTATGACTTTAAATCTCAATCGATCTTGGAAGTACTGTTGGTATTCATGATACATACAATCTTTTCAAGAATGAGAGAATATTTGCTGATTTAATTGATTTCTTTGAAACTGAACTAAAGGATTAGAATTCGACGACACTGCATTATTGGCATTGCTTTCATGTATATTTCATGTTTGTGCTTTAGATTTAAAACTCTCCTGCCAGAGTTTTTGGTACGCTATTTATATTTAGGGTAGTATTAAATGAAACTTTCTCAATAATAAAAAGTCGAACAATTACAGTCGGCTAGAGGCCTTCGAAAAATCTATAGAGGCTTTTACGAAAATAACTGGAATTATGCATACAGTGTTTCTCCAAAAATATATATCATTGTTAAGGGCTGCACGTACCGGGGTGGGCAGGGGGTAGCAATGTCCCCGCAGAAAATGTACCTATTAATTTTACAACGTTATTGTCAATTATTAAGCCAAATTGCACTTATAATCTTGTTTATCACAATCTACTATTCTGTGTGGGGTGGCCATAAACAAGCTTGAGTCTAACTGATATGTAAATATATTTCCAATGAAACTGCATGCATGCCTTGCCATATCTCCTCTATTAAGTCCTGAATAGCTTAGAGCTGCCTACCAACTGCCTTACTCATTTGTTGGCTTACTATTGTTTAAATCTACAGTAAATTATTCAATGTCTGCTAAACCTACTAGGGTAAAGGGAGGTTAATTTAGTATATATATGTTATTTACCGGCTGCGAGGTCCGTACTGAAAAAATAATTTCCCGAGGTCTCTTTTTCCCGAATAAGCCCAGGAATCGTCCTTAAACTGCCATTTAAGGGTTTTTTTTAATTTTACGTTTAAGGACAAGTTGTACGTTGTCCCCGAGCTGACGGCGCGAAGCGCCGTGCGAGGGTACTAATTCCCCCGAAAGCATTAGCGAAGTCTTACGAAAGCATTAGCGACGTCTAAAGTTCATCAATGATCGTGAGCGTGGGTGACCAACGGTGTTGGGGGTTGGGTGGGTGGTCATCTTGACTGATCTCAAAAATATGGCGGACTGTCATGAATAGCGGACACTGATTGGTCCAATTTAAAGTTTGCATTGTAACGACTGCATGAAGACAGCGAAATAGCAAACGTTTCTTGTTTGATGATTAACAAATTTCTTGCAAATATATTTCATTTTTGCTTTCGCATTTTTGCAAGATTTTGTAAATTTCAAAAGCTTTCTCAGAAAGAAAGGGCGAAAGAATCGGCTAAAAGAAGGGAGCCGATGTTAACGATGGTAAGTTTGTTTTAAATATTGATTTTATAATTGCTTTAAAACCCGACGGCCTTTGCGTATATGGAAACACTAAACAAGTCAGCATATAATTTCAGTTTATTATTAATATTGATTCCCTTTTTTATTATATTGAATACTTTAAATAAAAAAGAATGCAAAGTTATTTGCATGCGAGAATTTGAAATCATTTTATTGCAAACTCAGTTTATCGATAAAGCCATTTAAGTAGAGACAGTTTAGTTTTATAAAGAACACCTTATTTAACTCTTTCCTGTCACGACCCTATAAACGCAATACACTGCTGTAATACGACTTTGCAGATTCATATCTTCGGTTCGGTGCATGCTATGTAGATGAAAATATCACCATTCGATTCAGCGTGTCGAAATGTCCTAGTTCCTAACGATAGATTTAGTCGATGTCAACATTATCACAATTTATGGCCTTTGGAAGTCAAGCGAGATTGTATATTATCAAATTACGCAATTGTCTGAACAACAATGTAGACTGGCCGTACCTTTCGCCGAACATAACTTCGGCCGCTTCGGCCGTATCTTCTTTGTAATAGTCTTGTTCGAATCGCTATCAAAAACACTATTTAGAGTGTTATTTTCAAGATTGTATCATCAAATTTGAATCTTTTATTACCATATTTCCATTTCTGGTCTGACTGTGAGATAATCCCAACCGGAAGTATGACTTAAAAATGTCAAAACAATGCTACGCTTGTATCGCGTGACTCTGGAAATGCCAGAAATGGATTCTACAGGTCAAAGTGCACCGATACGCGTGAGTTTGACGTCATCCCAGCTAAAGCGAGCTCCTTATTGGCCAAGTATTGCGTAATACAAGCGCGTGCGAGTAAAACCCGATACCTTGAAAAATTCAAAATAAATATTTCTACTCGCCATATTCATATGAAACTTTCTACACGAAAGCGCCTGAATACAAAGAGTATTTTACACATATAGCCTTCCAAAAAATGACGAAAAGTTTAGAAGATATTCAAGTTTTACTGTTTTTTCTCGTTTGAATGTTTGGCGAAGCGGTGAGTATAAATATATGATTGTTTCGGTTTGTGTAATGTTTTGATGGCACTTGACCCCCCGTTCGAAAGGTTATTTTGTGAGGATTTCAATGGTGGCATTTATTTAAAAGGGGGGAAATACTCGCCGAGATATTTATTTTTGAAAAATTGAGTCGTAATGTAATGCGAA